CAAGTTAGGTAATTTTTAGTGTAAAAACACTACTACATTTTAACATACATCACTACATTTTAATCTATATGTATGAACCTGTAAAATAATACGTGAGTACCTCATAATTTTCTATTTTACAGAAATTATTACATGGATAAACAACCTAAGGTAAAGCCAATGAAAACTATAATACTGCAATTAGTATTAAGTAAGGAAAAATCAAACACTGGAACTCAAATGTTAATTAGCCAACAAATACTGATTTAAATTTATGGGGTTAGTTTATATATATATTATATTAAATACATATTCATTGTTATTCTTAAATTTTAGGTTATATTGTATAAAAAATATAATTTGTTTAAATTCATCATTCAAAATCATTTTTTTAAATAGCTAAATATTTCAGAAAATTAGGTATGATTATAGGTACATATAAAATGTATATATATATATATTATTTTGTACTAAATAACATGTTTTTTTTATCTTTTTACCATATATATTTATAGGGTTATACTAGATATTTTTATGTTATTTGATCAAATAATTGGTTATGAATTCATGAAGGTGAGGCTCTTGGACCTTTTTCGTTTTCAAAAAAAGCATTTTAGATGCCTATAATTATAGCAAATAACATTACAAACAAAATATTTTATACCTATTTAATAAAATGTGAACAATTCACCTGAGTTATAATTTATTCGAATACAATTTTATTTAAATAATCATCTAAGTAAAATTTGATCAAAGTAATACCCTACTCTGGTTATAGATTAAAAATAATTATTGGTTATGTGTTTAAAATAACTTTACAGTGATGGTATATAGTTTTATAATTGATTATATAATAGGCTATTCTGTAACCAATGATTATATCTATTACGTTAATATTTAATAATATAACAGTAATGTTAAATGTAAAACAGTAATGTCTTACCTTTTAAATAGTATCTAACTACCTAAAATAATTTATGACTCATCAACAGAAAAAAGGATGATTTTTGAAAATTTTTATACGGTATAATCGATATCATGTAACATTTAATATATAAACTAAATCATGGTGTTATTTTTTTATAACATTATACAATACTGTCATTAGGGACTTACTCATACATAACTTAAACATTTCTGCTGAAATTAAAAAATTATATGGAAAGACAATATCTAAAAAGTACATATACTCCCAGATATTACAACGAAAGTACATATGTTCATCAAAATACCAATCGTCATTTATGTAAAGAGGTTAACAAAATTTTATATAAATTAAACAGATCATTAAATTACAAATTATAAACATATTTATAAATTAAGTATGTTCTTAGTTGTTTTGAAAGTTTAAAATACAAAATATCATATCATATGCGAAAATCTTATTAAAAAGTCGAATGGCTCTATAGTTTGTAATTAAATGTATTTTGTGATAAACTGTGAATTTATAATAACTTATTATTAATCACATTAAAAAAGGTTTTTTGAGCATTTGTAGAAATTTTAATATACGAAAATACTAATTGTAAGTAGGTATATTTTATCTCTCCTTCCTAGCCGACTTCTTCTTTTCTCATTCCTATCTTCTTTTGGTTATATCACTCTCGACGACAACCTCCTGCTTAAATCTCGCTCCATTCCTGTCATCCATTTCATCAATGGCGTTCATTCAATCTTGCTCTGTGGGGGGTTTAACAAAAATAATCATTATTTTTTTTTTTCGTTGCAAAGATAAATAAGATAAATAACTGCTATAAATAGATATTATTTTATACAACTTTTTTACTAATTTACAGTTTACTTTTACATTATAGTAAATTAATAGCTATTGGAATATAAAAACGACATAGTTAACATAACTTTTCAAACACCTATCAATATAATTATTTAATTTTCATAATATTTGTATAGTTGTATATTTTAAGTTCAAAGCATAATAATGAAACTACGAATATATTACACGTCATCAATAATAAAACAATTTTCTTTATTTTTTTTGGCCCTGGGGGAGGTTTGAACATGGAACCCCTCCCCCCCGTATGTACGCCACTGCATTCCATTATTAACTTCATTTATTCCGCTGGCTTCTTAATTTAATTTATTTTAGTTGCTTTATACTTTTGTTTTATTAGTATTATTTATGTTTATTTAATTGTTTTAATGTAATGTTCTAATAAAGACAAAAAAAAAGTATGTTTTATGTAAATCTATAACACGTTAAAATTGGCAAACTTTTATCAATAAAATGTATGCCACACCTAATACATAGTACTGGTACCTTCGAATCTATTTATTTTAATTTTAGAATAATACCTATACATGTAAGCGAAATACAAATACGAAACTACTTCCAAAAATACATAGAATACAAAATTCCGCCAGAAAATGATAAGTTTAAAAACACATATACTATTAAATAAAAGTATAATAATACATTAAAAATAAAAATTTTAATATAAGAATACGTTTAGCCAATTTAATATTTTTACATTATATTTAACAGAGGAAGTATTTCAGGCACATAATATATACATAACCTAGATAGCCATACAAAATATATTTGTGTTATTCGGAAATAAACAGTTTTTCTTTTTAATTGGAGCAAAATCAGAAATCATGAAGTTACATATAAATTAAAACGATCTGAGTGGTGGAGAAAAAGAATAGTTAAATTGTAATGAAACTGTTAATTAATTAAACTTTATTGGTGTCTGGCGATAATATTAATTTAAAGTAACTCGTAAATTTAACGGTTCTAAAAATAATTAGTACAGTAATTTGCTCAAAATGTTAATAGCCATTAAGAAATAGCATAAAGAAAATCAGTTAATTTTATTAGGCATATAGATAAAATAAATTTCTTGATGTTCTGTATTTATCTAACTTGATTTTATGTATTATATTTAATAATAATTACTTGTTATCACACAGCTAGATTTTCTAGGTATTGAAAGTTATTCATAAAATATCTTCTAATAACTATAGAGACTACTAAGGTACCTATATGAAAAAATCACGTTTTAATGGAATTTATAAGCTAACTATTAATTAAAAACTCTAATAAGTATTTATCATCAATGTTAAGAAGTAAATATGAATCAAATGCGATTTAAAACCAAATTGATTGGTATAATGATGTTCATTATTATTAATAAGACAATAATATTATGCTGCTTTTTAAAAACCCGTTCGAAAGTCGATACTCCGATAGTTAAAAAATTCACAGATATTGTGAACACGTAGTAATACATCGGATATAACTTTATGAGTACTTTCAGACAAGACATGTGCATCCAAATATAACCATTTTAATTATTTAGTATTTATATTAAAAATTATTAAATAACCGAAATTAAAAAAAATATATATATATAATAAGTAATAGTCGACATGCGAAAATAGTTGAAAAATATAGACAATTCTTATTTAGACAAATTTAGTATATAGAATATGCAAATTGTCCTTTTCTAATCTAGTCCCAAAAATAGAATCCATTCAAAGGGGCTTTCCACGTTTTCTTTTGATCAAACAATAAAATAACAGCTTCTTCTCTTTTCATGGTCGAGTGAAAAATAAATTACTTAATATTTATATTTTATTAACCCTATTATTTTTCTAACCCTAAAAAAGTATGTATTAACTACCATATATTTTTCTATAGTGTAATAGGTGGTGGGTAGCAAAAAATCAATTTTGCCCTCCCAATTATTTTTATTTCGGTGCCACTGCACACACACATTGCATTATTATATTTATATCAACATTATTTTTAAATGCAATTGTGTGTAAAACTCAATGTATATAAAACAAAAATAGTAAAAAAAAAAATCTTTATCTTATTTTTATTTCTACATTTTCTGAAAGAACCGAATTTGATAATTTTTCTTATAAATGCTTATAAATTTACCGTGTTGTTTACTGCATAATTATATAATCCATGCGATAACTGATTACTGATTTTCATAGAAAAAAAAATTAAAAAAAAAAAATAATGTTGACACATATCTGATGGCTGTTGGTCCATTCACCGTGATATCATAATAACATTTTTTTTTTTTAAATATTTGATATTTCTTTACTATTTACCAAATTTTTTTCAGAGAGAAGGGCTCAGCAAATCCTCCCCCTCCCCCCCCCCGGATAAGTGGCTGAAACAACTATTAATCTAGCCCAAAAGTGCTCTAAAATTGCAGTTGTTTGGCAAGGTTTATATTCATTATAATTAGGTACCGGATATAAATGCACTTAAAACCATACAAATATGCTCTAAAAAATAGCGTAAAATGTCCTTAAAAAATTCATTTTATCACAAAAATGAAAAAATGACATATTTTTTTTATTTTGGTCATTATTTAACACACTATTTAATGCATTAAAATCATATTTACACGTAATACAAGCAACATCTGCGAGGTAATACGAACTAAAACTGATTATTTGTTATTTGATCGAATACTGGTGACGTTCCACAACCAATAATAAATTAAGATAAAAATTGAATCGAAAATTAAAGATTGACAATGTTTATGGAAAAACCCAATAAACTTACTTAAATATCAAGAAAATGATTTGTCTTTTATTTTGAATAGGCTAAATTTGTTTAATGTATCGAACAAATATGCATTAAAAACCAGCAAAATGACCCAGTAATACTAAAAATGCTCTAAAAACGAAAAAATGTCAAAATATGCAAAATAAAATTTGTAGTTTCGAAACTTTCGTTACATGGAACGAATTATGTTCTTAGAGAGCATTGTGTATGATCAATCAAAAAAATATGCACTTTGCATTGAAATCCGAGTCCTAATTATAATCTAATAGACCTTGGTTGTTGGGTACTATCATGGGAAATGTTCTGTGGTACTATCGTAGTCACCGCGGCGTGATAACAGAATTGCCAACTGCGGACTTCCGACAACGGGATATTTCACCGGGCCACTGCGGGTCGGCACTGGTAATCGACTGCCCCCCTCCCGCGATGGCCCAACTGCACCATTCCGTTCGTGGTGGTGTTACGTGCGTGTGCGCGGCCCGACGTCTGCGCGTATTAATCACAAGCAATATTGTTATCAGAACGATATGGTAGTGCAAAGTTCGACCGTCTCGTCGCGCGTATCGTGAAAATAACAATAAAATAAAAATTACGATAATGACAACGCGTGTGGTGTGTTGATCCCGAGTTAGGTTCCTCTTACTCAGTCACATATCGTTGCCGCACTCGATTGTCGCGTGTCCAGCCGATTTTCTGTAGTGCATTTCCCCGATGTCCGCGGCCAGTGATTATGTCAAATGAAAATTCGCGAGTGCTGTGCTGTGTTTTGTGTGTCGAAACCCGTTGTCGGTAGTTGCTCAATTTCGTTTGTTTGTTTTTTTTTTTTATCATTATTTGTTATTAATTTTTTTATTGTTGTCTTTACAAAGTGAAACCAAAATCATAAGCCTTCGCAAATATTAACGTCGTAACCATATCGTTGCCAATATATTTATCGTATTGTTTTATTAGTGCGTGAGTTGCGATTATAATTTTTTTTTAACCGATAGCAAGGAAAATGACTACTCGTTACTACCGTTTGGATTTTGGCAACAGCTGCAGAGACAGCGACAGCGGCCCAAGAAAATAATTTAGGTGTGCGTCCGTCAATTTTCGCAAATGACACGACGAACGCGGACAGCACCGACAACGAGATTGGTGCGAATAAGGTAATTTTTATGAAATATTATTGTTATCATATTCGTTTTGGGTTTTATATTTTCGGAATCTTTTTACCGCGGGTTTTTCTGAGGACGTGGTAAAATGTTTATCATCGTCATACCGCCTGTACCATCATATAGTAATGACCTGCATTGATGATAAGAAACATTTTTATTCGACCGAAAGATCGGCCGATGCACGAATGGCCTGAGTAGTGGTAAACTGCTAAGTAGACGGTAGTTGATGTGCTGTTAAATCTTCGATTTGTGTCTTAACAGCAGTATGATTTGAGACCGACTATACGGTTCAATAGTTTTCCGAACTGTCTGATAATTTTCTTCTCTTTTCCGCCGCTGTCACTGATGGGTGAAAGCTATGTGTGTATGTCTGTGTTTAGCTAACGACAGTGTCGATTATTATTGTTATTATTGTTGCATTATCGTATACATGCCTCCTTCGTTCGACATTGGGCGTAATAACTGGTGTATTTATCTGAACAAAACAAATGGTAAATACCTCGAATATATACAATATAAAATTTCGACTCTGTTGATAACTGGGCCAAGGATATGTAGGTGATAGCACTTGTATCTCCTATATTATTATAGTAGATACTGTAATATCTTATTGTTAGTTGACCAACACGTGCGAATTATGTGCATAAAACATAAATATATTTGTATTACATTGATTATTGTTAAATTAATTATTTTCGTTTTACAGAAAAGATTTAACGATTTTTTCATCGGCAACGATATTTTAATTGCACGGTTTACACAATATCTGTTTAGAAAATATTTGCTTAAAGTTATGATATCTCGAAAAAAAGGCACTTAAAGCTATTATTCATTGATTGCACGCTTTTACGTGTTATCTTTAATGCAACAACACTGGGAGAAATGGAACTCTTAGATGTATGTTTTGTTCGATGAAAACGATTTTATGAGGGTTGAAAACTTCACCGTTTCAGCGAGAGCGTTGGAACCATTTTATGTCAAGTTTTGAGGATTTTTTTAAATTTAAAAATTATAAATAATAAATTTACCCATGGGGGTATTTATGATTAGTTGATTTAAAGAGATATAAGCAGTGTAAGCAGTGCTATTGTTACCATAGTGATACCTTTACATCAACGAACCTTTATAAAAGCCTTTATCAAGCTTTTAATATTTACAATTTACCTGTTCAACTGACACACGCACATTTGTATATATATACATTAAATTCAGTATTTATATAATTACATTTAGTATCTGTATTTGATTATCCGAAATTTTCCAATTATTCAAAATATTCAGAAATTATGTTTAGAATAAAATAATATTATTTTTATTAGTGCGTATATAAAATGAAATAACTTACGTGTTGATTTTAAAAAATGATTACTCATGCTTTCTAAATTAAATTGTCAACCGTCATAGTTATCGATATATTACTCATATAATTTTGCCCTTCAAACTTATCGTTATTACTTATTAACGTATTTATTAGGAATGAATAAAGAAGTATTTAGTGTCAAGTACTAGTAATAACAATTAAATTAGTTGTATCAAATGTATACGAATAATAATTATAAATGCCTCTTTAATGTCGTGTGACAACTATTAGTACTATACCTAATAACTAATATATTTTATGTAAATTGGTATTTTACTTCCATACACTAACTTTTCGTAAAGTGTTATAAAATATAATGTTTAGGTACCTTTAGTATTAATAATGAATAAAGTGAAAACATTAATTACCCAGTAGTTATTTTTAGGTAATTAATATCGTTGAAAATAAATATTATTTTTACAACTATTTTATAATAAAGTCACATTTTGCTTAGTTTTTTTTCTTCTGCTGTGTTTTTTTTGCCTTTGACAAATTGTTTCATTTCCAAACCAATAAAATAGATTGATTTAAAAACACATTTGTCGAACGAAAATATGTTACATATGTACATAGAAATAAATTATAAATGCCTATTTCCATTTCTCTTCTAACCGCATTATAGATGCACTATTTGTGGACTTGACGTCCAAACTGTGCTGTGATAATCCAGTTGGTAAGCGAGAAACGTTTAGATATTATTGTAATTTATCCTTTATCTAAAATGAAGTGAAACCTATTGTCATTCATCGTGCGTTCACTTTGTGTATGTGTGTTTTTCCATTAATTTATTATTTAATTACGCTGAGTATAAATATAACTGTAACGCGTATGATTTCCTTTTTTAAGTCTGTATAAAAATATTTTTTATTCATACCAAAAAAAAAGATAACTTTCCGCTACGAAGGTCATGCTTATGATTGGTTTCCGGTCGCACTTGCCTGTGACTCATCAATTCGTGATTACAATTGTATTTAAATGAACACGGCCGCCTTGCACGATTATTATTACCACCATACGGGCGGTTTAACTAGAAGTGTTGCTTTAACTTGTCCAGCGCTACCGACTACGTAATGCTCTGCTAGTTTTTTTTCCAGCAAACTTTCGTCCGATGAATTATTATTGTACATAACATATCAATACGGAATGTATGATTATTGATGAAATGTATTTTTTTTCTTCTGCTTTTGTTGGTCACATTACAGCAATACTATTATATAATAATAATATATTTATACAGATATACAAATATTGACTTAGTACAGAGACGTTTAAATTAAGAAGTCTGCAGAATTTTCGTAATTTATAATCGAGGAAATAATGGGGATGGACCGAGTGTTAAGGAGAAAATTTGAATCTGGAGTGATATAAATATAACCAAGGGAAGATATAAATGAAAATAAGAGTTGTCTACTAAGGAGAAGAGAAGAGGAATTAAAATTTAGGTGGTTAAAATCGCAAATTGTTTCCTTATGGATTCGTATCCTATCTAATATGTATAGCAAGTTTTTTTAAATTAATTTATACATTTTATCCAAAGTAAAGTTTTGCATTTTCTTTTAAATCTTTTAAATATATTTTAATGTTTATCTATTATATATTTTTGTATAGCATAATCCGAGGTCTAATCACACTATAATGCAATTGAATTCAAATGTTCAATGTTATTAGATAACACAAACTTTTATTTATAAAGGTTAGTAAAAATGAAATAAATAACCATTTCCGTTGTTGTGTTTGCTATTATTATAAATGTATTTATGTGTTATAATGTACATATACCGTTTGACGTAACAATAATGAGAGTACCTATTCGTTTTAGTCTGTTTCACTTCAAAATGTTATATGTTTAATGCTGGACTATTAAAACGGAAGTCATGAAAGTTTTATGATTTCCAGCCAACAGGATGCACTTTATTCTGTAGTGTTAACTGTTTACCCAATCGTTAATATCGTTTAAATGTTAAAAATATACCGATGAAAAGCAGAAGTATTTCATGTTCGCTTATAGTTTTTTGTGTAACGTACTTTACGTGTAGAAGTACAATTCTCGCGAACACGACTTCTATGGCTTTCGTCTGTTAACATCTGGAACTCATAACTTAAAATAGCTGATGTTTTTTTATTTTAATTGAAGATTTATAAATCAATGAAGATGTTTTACATTTATTATGACGTAGATATTCGAATACTCGATTATATTTAGTGCATAAATTTATTATTATATAATAAGCTATATTTTGCTAAATTAAATATAATAAAAACATCTAAGTGTTATTTGAAAAGTATACAATTCAAAATTACGCTTAGTCTTTTATTAAAAGATGAACATAGTCTCACTATTTATCATATTATTATAGTTTTACTTTTATCGCGATAGGTATTTTAAGAATAAAACAAAAATACGATAATTTTAGAAAATATATTAAACTTTATAAAAGTTGGATGTTGTTACAACTGTTTAGTTTTATATTTTTAAATCATGTCTTGGTATAGATGCATTTTAATATACAATTAATAACTATTTTAGGATCAATTTATAGTTTATACATGTGACAGTATGTATTTACAAATATTTATTACCTAAATTTTATTTATATATTCATGGATTTAAAAGGTTATGGAGCAAATTTAATATTATAAATTGAGTTCCACTTCAGATGGTTTGATAAAACTGATGTAATTAAAGTCGTAACAGTCCTATCTATATAAAAACATTCGATATTACTCTTAATTTGACCACTGTTATACAACAACTTTTAAAATGGATTTTATCTTGATATCTTTTATTAAAATTAGGTACTAATCCTACTGAATAAACATATCTGATTTCCACATTTTTTTTTTTTTTTGGGGGTTTTTCCGGCCTTTAAGACCATCCCGCAAAACAAATTTCCCTCTAATTTATTCTATTTTCTGCTATTTCTCTCCAGTTTGCTCCTGGGTCAACCTCTTTATTATCTTTCCTCACACAATCTTCCCATCTTAGGCGTGGTCTACTTAGTGGTCTCTTTCCTTTCGGTTCTTCCCTGATTACTGTGTTAATCATAGCGTCTTTTTTCCTCCAAGCGTGATCTGATTTCCACATATTTAGTTTAATCAAACTATTTGATTATAAAGTTAGGTGAAAATTATCTTAATGATTTCTTATAAATTTTTCATTTTAAATTGAATATCTTTCACTATTTTTAATTTTTTAAATTATAGTTGTACTATTTATTTATGTATTTTGAATGATTTATGGAAATAAATTATTTAAGCATATTAACTTTTAAAGCTTATATAAACAGTTGTATATGCTTTTCGGGGCCATTTAAAACACAAATTGTCCATTAATATTTTAATAAAATTATTATCCACACTAGTATTTCTTATTGTTAATATTACATATTTATTTAGCTGTTATATAATGTATACTTTGGATTGTAAGAAAATAGAAAGGGTATAATTTTAATATATATCGAAGTATTTGTTATTTCTGTTATTCATAAAATTCTAACTAAACAATAAATTCTAGAACAAGTTCTATACGTACGTTGTGTCTAATTTGAATAATATATTTTATGAATTCAATATATTTACTCACAGTAATTTTTACTTTGATAATTTATGTCATTGCAATGATAAATAATAA